TTGTATTTTATTGATACAATGAAAATAACTTTGACTGGAAAGCTTAAAAGAGAAAAGGCATATCAGTAAGAGAATTCTTTCAACTTTCAACTCTTTCTGCTTGTTTCTCACTGTCTTTTGTTCTTCATTTGTTTGTCAAACTGTGGCAATTCGGTGAGTTTCAGTTTCTGACTGAATTTCCTTGTATCATGTTTCCTGTCATTTTGGTTTCAGCTTCACATGGTAGACCACCTTCTCTAACAGACTGTTCTAACCTCTTGCAATACTTGGAAGCAGTAATTCAGTAAGGAATTGGTGCAGCATAGAGATTTATGCTCCATTACCATGTGTAACATTTAACATTTATTGTTGCAAAAACAGTTTGTGCAAGTATGGTATAAATCTAAAGACCCTCCAAGTACTTTATCGGTTGCTCCAAAGGCCCCTCCTTCCTTAGTTTCTCAGCCCCAGATTAAAGAACCTCCTTCCTTTTGAGCTATAGCAGCTTTTTCTCCCTGTGTGGCAGACTTGTACGTTTTAGTCTGTCTGGCCCTGTTCCCCAGCTGTCCATTAAAGGACTGCAGGACAAGAGAGCATGTGCAGTTCACTGATTTGCATCAGTACAGGGCTACAGCCTCTGTAGCAAGGGTTGTAAATCAGTTCCCACCAGTGCATTCTGTCCTACATTCTGTGCAATCCCATCTTGAATGCTGCTGCTTCTTTTACTTTCAGCCATCTCGGGTGCTTGGAAGGGCTGATTGCTGAGACCTGGCTCTTTCCAGGGCTTTATGTTGACTTGTCAATTCTGCTGATCTCTGGAGTGGTGAATTCTTCTCTGTTTTTCTCCAGCTGTTCCATTCAGCTCTGGCATCTGGACAGGAGTCTATAGCTCTGATTGTAGTGAATAACCAAGAGTACAACTGAACAGCAGCTGTGTACTTCTGGTCTTGCTGCAGGCACAGGTTGTTCCATCCTGTACACCCATTGTGTGGTTAGATCATGCCATAGCTCCTGTGAACCCGTGGTGGGACTGTCCATCAGCACTCACTGCCTGCTTTCATTGCTCTAGTTAAGCCATTTGCTGGGGATTTTTTTCTGAACATGCGGAACAATCTAGAATTTACTCCTTGAGATGGTCTTGAATGTAATGTACAAGTCTTTGAATGCATCGCTTTTACTTAGGAATAAATAGGATATATATTGTTGAATAAAAATGTTTTCTCCTTACAGCATAAATCAAGTGACTGTTGCTGTGGGACCCAAATTGGGAAGATGTTTGTTCATTTCTAAAGGCCACTTTAAAGCCTCTACTTATTTTTAATCAGTGAGCCATTTCAAGCTTTTATCTTTTGTTTTTAGCACTTCTTCAGTGCAGAGTTCCTGTTAAAAAGGCAGCTCATCCAGCTGTAATGTGTTGTCACTATGTTTAAGGGTGGAGAAGAATGTACACTAGGCCAAGGAAGAGCTGCTCTTTGGTTAAACACACCCACTGGTGACCTTGGGTACAGTTTTACTCGCTCCCAAAGCTCAATAGTGAATTTAAATGGTTGCTGCAGGGTGTAAACTTAGAAATCTCTTTTTTTCAGATCTACTCAGGTAGAGCAGGAGGCTCTGTTGTAAGTTTGGAGACATCCCAAACTGTATCCAGCAAATTCCCATGGTGTTATCCTTGCTGACTCTAGGATGCTTCACCCTTGAGAAAGTGGGAACAGACTCTGACCTACTTTTTTTGCCATGTAAAAGACCCAAAGTAGTAAAATGAAAGTTATCATGAATCAAAAATAGGCTGTGGGGACAAAACTGTGTTGTTGGTTTTTTTCTGAATACAGCACTTTTGGTTTTCGCTGGTTGATGGACAGCTGAGTTGATTTTAAAACTACTGTCTACAGGGATGAGTCTTGTTCTGCCTTTATTGATTAATTTAATAGAAAAATTAAACCATTTTCCTCTGCTGCTGTCACAACTGCTTCAGTAACCTCAAGGAGCTAACTGTGATAATGTCTTTATTTTCAAACACATCAGTTCCCTGAAGCTCACTGCCCATTCTTAAATATTACTGCTTATACAAGGAATGTGAGTAGCTGGTGGGCTTCAAAGTTCTGCAAGGGCAGATCATCAGTCTGGGTTTAGACTGGATTAAAATTACACAGAATCAGAGCCTTAATCCTTGAATGTTGTACATGAAGCATAAACATATATGTACCAGTACCTTGGGGACAGAGCATCATCAGTTAATGAAATTTGCATTAAATGTATCACCACATTCCCTCCCTCTCTCATTTGTGGCAGGGAAGACACTGCCAATTTTTCATTTCCTACTTCCATGCAAAGTTAATAAGGAGTCTTGCTGACAAAGAGAGTGGGAATAGGAAAATGCTTCTGCATGCGTCCAGAAGAATTTTTTAAAGGAAGTACAGCTGCAGGATCTGTAGTAGTTATTACTGCAGAGATAGTGAGGATGGTCTTGGGCTTCTGAATATACATTATGGTCTCTGTATGATGATGGCAGCTTTTCCAAATCTGTGTGTTCAGACAGCACTGCAAAACCTTACGTTACCTTCCTGACAAGACATAAATGTTTCTGTGTCAAGGACAGATAAAGAGGCTTGAGGTTGTTTTCTGACATGCTTTTTGTGAAGGGCATGCTGAGTAAAAAGGACAAAAAGCCTTTCCTCTAGGTCACAACTGCTCTTATGTGTTCAGGTCACCTGAAGAGCCTTCTCCAAAACAGGAGAAATATCAGAGCCTTTACCAGAGCTTTGTTTCTTCTCTCTTTGTAGTTAGGAATTAATGTTATTGAGAGATGTGAGAGAACAATCAGTAATGACAGCAGCATTTGGGAAGTGATTCCTGATTTGTCATAGTGCACAACATTACAAGGTGTAGTGAGGTATTGCATACAAGCATGAGGAGTATGGGTGTAAATAACCCTGATGTCTGAGCTTTACATCGTGTTACAGAGTAATTGATCAGACATATATTGTTTCCTTGCCAAAAAGTAAGTACTCTCCCAATGAAACATAAGTTATTCAACTAAACAGGAGTTTTGGTGGACCTCCAGCAAAAAGGACTGTGTTCCTTATGACAGGTGTTTTTCTTGGCATCCTGTTAAGAGGTTGAAGCAGGTCACAAAATCCAGTATTTGATACTGGCAATCCAGTTTATTATAAAGCAGTACATAGTGTGCCCAAAGAACCTTCCAGCATCAAGATCTTACAGAAGGAAAAGATATTACTGTCTTTTGTGGTTGTTAGATTGGCTGGGGGGTTTTGTTTTTTATTTTGAAGGAAAATGGAGTAAGTGCAACATACTGTATGTTTGGTATAGGGAAATCTTATGGCTTTTTTCACGGTCTTAAATGCTAATCATGCCATGAGATACGGCTATTACAAATAGAATTACTGGATCGTTGCAGATAAGAGCATGTGGAAGATGTGTTTTATTGCTGTAATTTAGTTTGCAGGAGTTAGAGCCACTTCCTACAGACCTATTTGGATGCTTTAGTGTGAAATCCACTTAGGTAGAAAGCTCTTACATCCACAGCTCTTTGACTGATTTGGTGAATGAACAGTAGAGTTAGTTGGGAGGAAAACAGGCTATGAGAGCTGCCCTCAAATCTGCAGTTAGTTACCTGCATGTTTCTGTGTCCAGCACCTGCCTTCCAGACAATTCTGTCAGAGTCTAGTCTAGAGTTGGGAGCTGTATCCATCTTTCAGCCACCAAAAAATATGGCTGAACTTCAGTATAAATAGTTTGCTATTTCTGTGGGCAAGATAGTGAATTCTGTCAGCAAGAAGTGACAGGTTTACTTTGCACTGGTATTGCATGTTATAAAGAGACAAGTCTAACATTAGATAAAGTAAAGAAGGAAATTTTGTCAGTTAAAATAAGCAGGGATTGTCAGCTCCTGAACTTCTGAATGTTGTCCACAATGGTCAAATTTTGCCAATAATGAGTGCTTAATTTTCTTGAAGACTAGAACACCATCTCAGTATTCTAGCTTTTTAAAAAGTAGGTAACCCATACATGGACATTGAACTTGAAAGTTTTGCTTCAAGTTTTTATTTTTAAGTTGCTTTTTCTGTTGTATTTAGAAGCATCTTCTTAGCTGCTGCTTACAATGGAGAAATCAATTGCTAGAGAGGGAAACAGCTATTGCATATTGAATTACACAGTATTTATGAAATGTCAGGATGAGCTGTGGTAAGCAGCTGAAATGTGCTGAGATAGTGGATATCCAGTTTCTGGTATGGCACAAAATATTGCTGTGCAGGATGAAGACATCAGTTTACTACAATGCATAAAAAATGTGTTTCTGTGTTTCATTTTATGTGTTCTTTCTGGCACATCAAAATCATAAGAAAACAGCTGCCTGTAGATTATTTTATCCTAGTTTTTGAGTTTATTTACACACAGGAACCTGAAGTAGGTCAGTTTGGTGCAGTGCTGCTGCAGGTAAAGCTAAGGAAATGAAGGGGTTGCTGAGGCATTTCTTCCTGTATTACTGTTTTGTTTATATTCTGCAGTTAAAACACCGTAGTTGTTAGTATGCCTAGTGAGCAGGCAGGATTTTTTGTTAAAAGGAAAATAAGTCACAAGATACAGCTTTATAATGTATACAGTAGTACATATGCCCTACTGAGAGATCAGAATACACTGTGTTGATACACAGGACATGACAAAAGGGGCACTTTCTGTCCTCAGCAGTTTATGAATGAGGTGTAAGACTTCCACATATGATGAGAATTGTATTTTGTAGTACGTGCCTTGGTTCAGGCCTTCTGTGCACATACCTGGCAGTGCTTAAATATTACATACACATAGTATGAAACGCTGCTCAGTTACAGACCTCAAGAAACACACAGCTGTTGGTAGCAGTTATGCTGGATGCTGCATCAAAGCTCTCTTTTTTTCAGAAAGACAGGAATTTGGTGGGCTCAGACTAGTGCACTAAAACCAATTATTAGAGCTGCAAGACAAATTTGTACCTGATTACTGTCTGAATGGAATTGGTTATTTAAAATTGGTTATTGGCTGTTTGTTTCTGCTTGTTTACAGGTTGCACGGCCGATACCATGAAATGGCACCAAATGTTGTGCCCATGGACTATACAAAGGATCCAGATGTTAAACTACCTATGCAGCTTATCATAAACATGCCTGAGCTGAAGGTATCACTTTTGACTGCTTGCAAACTGTATCTTAATTTCTGTAGCTCATCTGCCAGACTTTTTTCCAAAATTGATATCCAGAAGTGCTGTGGCATGCTGAGGTCTTACCCTTCCTGTTATTGTTCAAGGGCAAAACCAGCCCCAGAAACTAGAAAATATTCAGGTGAATGTCTTTCTTGTAGAGATAGTTAGGGTTGATGTTAAAGGAAATTGATATGAAATAAATTTAGCAATATTTGCTCTTTGTGTATATCCCCCGCAGAAGTCATGTACCCACAGGGATCTCTGTGTGAAGAGCTGGTTAGAAATCTGAAGTTCCTGTCTCAGTCTGTTAATAGGAAATTTGCTAGCAGTGTGCAGAATATTGCTAATAAAAAGTAAAGGTTTTCCTCTTTTTTCTCAGCTACCTGAGCACAATAAATACTGTTTTTCTTAATTATCAGAAGTTTTCATTTTCATAGGAACACTACGTGGTAGAAAGTGGAGAAACAGTCTATGTAACTGCAAATGAGAGAAGCAGTAGGTATAAGGCAATCAGTACAAAAAAAAAAAAAAAAAAAAAAGAGATATTTTGTTTATAATTCTCAATTCAACAATTTAATGATTTATGGTTTTAACAGGACAAATGTGCATTTAGCATTTATTTAGCACTTATTTAGTGTTTATTTTTAAACAGTTCATTGAATTATGTTGTGTTTTGTCACACAGTCTATTTTTTATGTATGCTAGTCAATTGATGGCTATAAATTACTATAATGTGGAAACACTTATGCGTTCAATCTGATAGTTGTGTGAAGCATTATTAAGATTTTTAAGAACACTGCTATAAAAACCTTGTAATTTATGCCCTTCCACTTAATTTTAATGATCTAGAAATTCTTCCTTAACATTTTATTTTTTTCAAATATCTGATATTTTACAAACAGAAGCTGTGCTCTAGAAATTCAGTTGTAGAGGACACTAAATCAACCTGAATTGAAAAACATTTGAATTGGATTTCAAGTTGAAGTTCACAGAACTCTTTATTCCTTTAATACCACAACCACACTTGCTGTAAGTTTGATTCTGGGATAATATAATTTATTGAACAAGAAGCGTGTTTTGTTAATGTATGTGTGTTAAAAAGTATTCGGCCAGCATTTCATATAAATGGAAACATTAAACACATACAAGCATTTAATTCAATAGAAAACCTTGGGAAAATTTTTATCCTTCAGTTATTCTTCAGACTTTGACTTAGCAAATGCCTATGGACAGCTTGGGTTTCTGAAGAAGCTGAGAAATAATTTAGAATTCTTTTCCACAGTAAACATGGGCTTCTTCAGCAAAATATATTTATGCTTTGACTTCTCAGACTTTAACTGCTAGATAGCTGAGGGTTGCTTTGTGACAAATCAAAGCTAAGCTTAGAAAAGGAAGTGGGAAATTATGATCATGCAGAGCCTTTTTGGCTTCAGTGATAGAGGATTGAATACTTAAGGAACAGCTCATTCTATGAGAACTTTCAAGATGGAAGGCCTGGTACTGAAGCTGACATACAAATCAAAAATGTTATACAGGATCATATTTAGCTTGAGATACAGGAGCATATTATACTAGCTTAACAAACTTAGATGGTAATGATAGATTTCCTAAGAGGCTTTCATGTATGAATCATAATCATGTATGGATCATGTATGGATCATAATCTGTCTACTGGCACCACAAGTCTGTGAGGCTTTCTGACTGTGCTTTGTAAGATGTCTCCAGGTAATGGAACTTGACTTTTTGAAAGTAACAGGACAAACTCACTGTTGAATTTTATACAAATTCTCTCTTAGGTCTTATAAGTCTGTGGAAGAACCTTAGAAATATTGGTTGCAAACCACTCGTTTTATTTCACAAATTCTAGGAAATCACAGAGTAAAGTGCTTTCAATAGCTACTAAGCTTGTTTCCAGTAGAATCCCAGTAAGAGGAGACTAGATAATATTCTGTAACTCTTTCTGAGCATTGACACTAAAAGATGTTAAAATGCCTGGGGTCTTTGTTATGAAATGGGGTCCATCTTGCTCATGAAGCATCTTGTGGGCACCTGTGCAGACAGCGGTGAGGGGGAGAAAGTTTTCTCATTACTATATTTTTGAAGCGACCTATGTACTAACTTCAGCTCATATACTAAAAAAAAAAAAAATTAACCTTTGCAACTTGACCAGGCTGCCTAACAAATCATTACAGTGTTTTCTTTCTTTGGTAAATTTTCATCAAGGTGAAGACAAAGACAACATTTACTTCTTAAAATAGAAATAAATGACCTAAATGTCCATTGAATTCTAATAAAATTAGTGCTAATTTCAATGCACCTGGCTTTTTTCATATACACATTACATTTCCAGTTACTGGCAATGTTGAGCTCAATATCACTGCAGGTTCTGACAAATTGATAGAATCAATAATGCACTTTTCTAAATTAGATTCTGCTAATATAAAGAAAGAGCTTTACCTCATGCATTAAAGCTTTGAGCCAGGTGTTTTTTGTTTCAATGGAAAAAAAATGCTGATGGTCATTCTTTTTAATTGGTAATGAATTATTCACTAACTCCTGATTCTGAAAAGTTGAAAGTTAGGACAAGAAATAAATAAATAAAGAAGGGGAAGGTACTTTAAGTAGATTAGGTCTACCAATACATTGAAGTTAACAGAGCTACTTTACTCCATCAGTTTCATTGCAGTCTCTGTTCCCTAATTTTCACAATCTTGGTTACACAGGCACCAGTCTAATGAATTAACTTTGGGGCATTGAAACACCTGTGCAATTGCAGTAATTAATATAGCAAAACTGTAGCCATGATATGGACTGCTCAGCGTGGGACCAGGGAGAAAGCAAAAGTGATATTTTTTCAAATTAAAACTGTTTTCAGTCACATTATTGCTGTCATTGCCACAGAGCTACAGGTGGAAATGTAACCTGGTGCCAGAGACCCCTGTGGTTGGTAGCAGTGGTGGGTGTCCATACCCACATCCCAGATTGTCTTTTTCCTAGATTGTGGGTTCTCTGTGGGCACTGCAGTGCAGAGCAATCCTTCTCTCCAGAGCTGGGCAGCAAAGGGCTGCTGGAGGAGAACCATTTTTGTTTCACTTACTTTACAGTCTGTCGCTTCCTGCGTTTTGGCTCACACGGGAGCTTCATTGATCCTTGCAGGCCTTGTCATAAGCTGCACTGGGGAGGTAGGTAGTTCATAAATCTACTGCTGAAACAGGATGGGCAGCAGGCACAGGAATCTGCAGGAGCCAGCAAGGACACACAGGGAACAGCAACTCCATTGCACATTTCAGAACCAATGAAATGGTTAGCACCCTATTTGTAGTAAGTTTAAAAGTGAATGCAAGTGAATTGCTTCAAAATGAAAATACTTTCCACAGTGTTAATAGGATGAGGTTTTAAAGTGATTTCAACAAGTCTTCAGGTTCAGAGCTTTCTGTACATTGGGTAGTTGACACCTGGGCTTTCCGTGTGAAGGGCAGTGGGTAATGCCAGAGCAGGGCAATCTTCCCAAGCCCCAGCCCTGCTCTGGGCCGATTTTTGCTTCCAGCTCATCTCAACATTCTTGCTGCATTCTGTCAGTTGTTCCTAGTTATAATGGGATGTTTTACTCCCTTCAGAGGAGCAAAACTTTACTCCAACCACTCTCCTTGCTTCTCTGAAGTCTCTTTATCTGAGCATCTCAGCTGTGTGTGCTCCAAGTGTCATAAGCAAGGGCTGTATTCTCTGCATTGAACCCCAAGCCTGCACCTCCCCGGTGGCCTGCAGTCTTGTCTGTACACTTCCCTGTCACAGTTAGGAATCAGTTCTTGTCACAATGCCTTATCTTTCCATGAGGTGCTGGTAGGTTCTGTAATATTTAAGCAATTCTGTATACAGCTTGAATCTTTGGTTTTTTGGTTGTTGTGACTTCAGTGAAGGGTTGTCATTGAACTTCATATGCTTCTGCTTTCTGACAGAACAAAATGGTCTTTTAAGACATAAACTTACCAATTTAGCTCTGTCTTAGCCTTGGTTTCTGCAGACATTTCTTAAACAGTATCCTGCAGGCACTGCAGAGAAGTTTGATGACATTCATATAATCATAGACACATAAAACCCAAGCTATTGATTTTGAGCAAGAAGAAAATGTAGAAAAAACCCTGCAAAGAAGCTTGCTTTTTTTCTGCTTCAGGACCAATTTGCTGTTGCACTCATTAAGCTTCCTTTCTGAAGCACTAGTCTTTCCTATGGAGCTTTGATAATGAACAATTTAGCTACTTTTAGATTAATGTTTGTCTGATAGCAGTTCTTTTTCTTCTCTTTTGGAATAGCTTCTGAAATTTCAGAAAGTTTACCATTGCTGAAAGGGTCCTGATTAACAATCCAAAAGGATTCTGACTTGCGATAGTCTGCAAAATAGACTGCTTTGTGGTTTTAAATATATTCTCTAAAGTCAGTGGGGACTAATGTTCAAATACAAAAGGGAAAGCCAACATTGTGTTTCTGTGGATATGAAAATTAAGTAGCATTTTGTAATGACTCTCCAGTATCTCCAACTTAATTGTCTTGACCTATCTTTGAACTTTACTTGCAACCTCTTATTTCCAAAATGCAGTCAGCCTGTGAGAATAGGATTGGATGCTTGAAATTAATTCCTCAAACTAAAAAACAGATAAGGCAAAAGGCCACCTGAGTACTTTCCTAGAGTAGGGGATGGAAACTAGAGGACAGAAGAATATAACAGGTGATTTAGCTGCAATGCCAGGAGTAAACGCTCAGTTTGTTAGAAAACTAATGGTTGTGTTTTATTGTAAGCTGTTATAGGTTTGTATGTTGGAACAGGTGCTGTGTGAGATTTTAAAATGCACAGAAACGCAATTATCTGAGTAAAAGAAGTGTTCCTTGCAAAGATGGATTGCAGATTTAGGGTTCTTTCGGGTCACTGCAGCAACAACATCAATCTGCAAAACAGCAGAGTTGTTTTTTGGTTGTAGCAATTCTTTGTTTCTGTCTCCCCTCTCATTTTTATCACGAGACCACAGAAAAAGTTTTTTAAGACAAGTGCAAGTTTCTAGTTTTTAATAAGAATCGCTTTTCAACAATTAGTGCTTATGGGAAAGCAATCTAGGAAAAAACATATTATTTTACCGTTTACTCCCTTCCCCCATGGCTCTTCCTTTAGATATGATGGAACCCTAATCTGTGTTCTTTAGAGTAGAGGTAATGAAATTACAGAAAGCATGTGAAAAGTATCTCTGAAGGTAAGCTAATACTTTCCATTGTGTAAGCCACAGATATACTGCCTGAAGACACATAATATGAGAAAGTTAAAGGAAAGAAATCAATATGAGGAAAGATTTTATTTTTCATTTTGGTTTTAGAGATCCATTTGGAAAAGAGTTACTTAAGAAGTATGCTTAGGTTCATTTAATTCATTCTTAATTCATTTGTATTTTCAAGACCTCTGACATGCCAAATAAATAACTCATCTTATGCAACTGCAATATGCTTATTGAGTCAGTGAGATCCTGCCCCAGCCTTTCTAAAGCACAAAGTCCTGGGCTTGATACTCACTGCTGATAGGGATATTTGCATCTGTCTGCTCCTAATTTGTTATCCAATGCTGCCTCTAAGATGTCAGTTTACTATTGTTACCATGACACTTCTCATCAGGTTTGTTCCAAAGAAAGCTATACAGTATTTTAGAAATGAAAAATAACTTTCTAACATGTTTTGATGTCCATTCTGATGTTTGGCATTCTCAATTATTAAACATATAACACACCATTTTTTGGTGTGCTTTTAGGAAGAAAGTGAGCCTTTTCATATATTTCTGCCCAAATGAATCTCACTTTGGCTTATTTATAAACTGGCAGTTTGAAGCAACAGAACCAGTTGTTTCTTCCTGCATGTCTGTGTGTGCATATCCCACGAACAGGTATATGTGTATAACCACAGGTAAATCCCACAAACAAGTAAATGTGTATTCCACAAATATTTCCAGTCATTTAAGTGAAATACTTTAATCTGAGCAGTAGTCACAGATGCACACCTGCTGTACCTACACATCATTCACAAGACATGAGTGATCACTACATATCCTTTTACAGTGAGGCTCTCTAAGCCATCTGCCTGGGTCTGGGGTGTTGTTTTTCATTCTCATGCTCTAGAGAGATGTGACCCTTTTGCTTTTTGAAGCTGCTATTTTTTTTTTTTTTTTTTTTTTTTTTAGGAATCCCTATTTTCTTTTTTATTTTTTTAGGTTTTATTTGGCCTGGTTTTATCTTCATTTGAACTGTGAACTCATTAATCTCCTATCCTTTTAAATCCGTAGGCCTGTTCCCAATTGTGGATTCCTTCAGTCANTTTTTTTTTTTTTTTTTTTTTTTTTTTTAGGAATCCCTATTTTCTATTCTATTTAATTAGGTTTTATCTGGCCTGGTTTTATCTTCATTTGAACTGTGAACTCATTAATCTCCTATCCTTTTAAATCCGTAGGCCTGTTCCCAATTGTGGATTCCTTCAGTCATCCAACCTTGCAGGAGAATTTGTATTTAGTACTGAATACTTTAATGGGCTGTCATTTGAACCTAAGGCTCTGTGATCCCTATTTCACCTGTCCATAAAAACAGCCTTGGGGTTCACCACAGTTACGCTAAAAATGCATTCTATAGATGCCTTTGTTCTGTGTGTGAATTATCAAGAATTCAAGTAAACTGAAAAATAACATTTTCTGGTCATTTGTCTCTCAAATGTAGCTGTTTTTTGAAATTTCATTTCAAATAATAGGGTGGTTTATAAATACCTATTAGGTAATTAAATTTACAGGGGAAAAAAGAAAATAAATGGAGATATGATTGAACTTCTGAGCTTTCACAGTACTGCTTCTTTAAAGGCCAAACAAAATGCTGCATGCATATTAAAAATAGTGAACCTGATATGCCAACACCACAACCGTATATATTAATGGATCAGTATGTTAATCAGTGTCTTGGCTTCAGAAAAAATCTGTAGCACAGCTTTAATGAGATGCTGTTCACAGCCCAAGTGATGTTTGTGTTCTGTTCATGTTCAACTGAATTGAACTTATTTTCCAACTTTTATTGATACAGCTACAAATTAGTGTTGGGGTTTTGTATAGCTCTTAGAATGATGATGGGTTTTTAACTGTAAAAACATTTATTTTGGATTTCATAGTCAGTTTTCTTACACTTGCTTGTGTGTTTATGGTTTTACAATATTGTCTTATTCTAAGGTGCTAGAAGTGATTTCAGAATAATCTCCTGTGGAGATTACATTTCATTTAAATCTCTGGAATTTTTAGTCAGTCCAGCCACAGGTTGGACATTTACATTTATCAGTGAAAGTAAAAGGCCAGAAGTGGTACTATGCAGTAGCAAGGACTGCTGAAAATTCCTGCTAAAGCATAAAAATGCATTGATGCATTTTTGGGGGGGGAAAAAAGAAAATTTGTCTTTAAATAGCCAACTTTAGAATTAAATATTCATTATTAGGGAGTGTGCAGGTTTTTTCATCTTCCAAATACCAGTCTATGTATGTCTTTCACAGGAGAATCCCTTCAAAGAAAGGATTGTGGAGTCTTTCTCAGAAGATGGAGAGGGGAGCCTGAGCTTCAATGACTTTGTGGATATGTTCTCCGTGCTCAGTGAAATGGCTCCCCGCGAGCTTAAAGCAATCTATGCCTTTAAGATTTATGGTACTATGTGGAGGGGCTCTGGTGTGCTTTCTGTGTTTGGAGTAAATGAGTGGTACACTTGGTGATCTTTGGTTCTTCTATTGTTTAGATTTTAACACAGATAACTTCATTTGTAAAGCAGACTTGGAAAAAACCCTCAATAAGCTGACCCGGGAAGAGCTGACAGCGGAGGAAATCACTCTGGTTTGTGAGAAGGTGATAGAAGAAGCTGACATGGATGGTGATGGGAAATTAGGATTTGCAGATTTTGAAAACATGATTTCCAAGGCACCAGACTTTCTCAGGTATTATTTTTTTAAAAATAGTCTCTTGCATACTTGTAGGTATTGTTTTAGGATATCACTTTGCAGTCTAATACAAGAAGTGTCAGACATAAGTATTTTACTAGAGAACTAACTAGGGGATGACTTCTTACCTAACTCACTTTACTTTTCTAGGGCATATTCCAGTTCTTTCCTAACTTAAGACTAAGAGCTTAATGACTTAATGATCGCCTTTCTGGCTTCTCCACCCGTGTTGGTGCAGTTCAGGAAAATATTTTGATCCATTATGAGCTCAAAGTCAGCCTATAGCAAGGATTAAGCCTACAGCGAGGATCCAAGTTGTCTGCATAGGAATGTGTGTCAATATTGTATACACTGTTACAAATATACATGGAAAGACTTCGATCTCTTTGCTGTGAAAGTGTTTTTTGAAGAACTGTAAAGTGTCCTGCAGAACACAGAATAGTATTTCTTTCACAAATGAAACTTCTGAGGAAAGCGGTTAAAAGCAATTCAACAATAAAGCAGGAGCACGTGATTCCACTGAACCTTGAGAAACATCACCTTCTGGAGAGGAGACAGTCAATGTAAATGTCCTTTATACATTTCTGGTATTCCTTGACTAATCAAGTGTATCAAGAGAAACCCCTTTAGAACAAGATATGTATCATCATTATGGTGAGGCTTAGCTCAGTAGGTATTCTAATATTTTGTTTACAGGTATTTCCAGCTAAGAAAAAATGTTCTTTATACTCCTATCCTGTAGAACCTGCTGGGATCAGGTAGAGTTTCCTTTAATCAATCAAAAGGCTGTGCTGCTCCTACAATGCTAGTAGAGAATGGTGATCAAATATGAAGAATTGAAGGCAGATCTGAAGATTCAGTAGAAGCTGCAGTTTCAGAAGTTTCCTGTGCCATGACTGATTTTACTGCTGTGTTGTAGAGGCTTGCAAACTGCTAACTGAGAATTCCAAGCCAAGAATGCTGTGCAGTCCAGTTATTTTCTGAGGAAGTTGCAGAGAGGAATGTTTGGCAGTGTAGCCATTGGAATGATTGTCACAATTATTTTTCTTTTTCAGTTGGGTGATGTTTTGGGAAGATGAGGAAATGAGTGAAAATTACTGAGTGATGGCTATTCAGCAAGGCAAGATGATGAATAAGAAATGGGATGAAGTGAGATGTTTATTATAGATAGGAAACAGAAATTGGAGAGTGCCAATAAAATCAAAGGATGATGCTACAAAGTAATGAAAGACTGAGTGTCCAGTTGCTCAGTTTAAACACATGTACTTGGATCTGTATCTCCTTTAGGTTTAAAATGGCAATGTGCATATTTAAGGTAGATGTTTGGCATCCCTGGCTTCCAGAGGAATCGTACCTTGCCCCTACTTTCAGGTTCAGGAGTTTAGCTGGGTCATGGGATTAATCTCTGAAGTCCTCAGGCCTAAGAGCTCTGAGTGATAAAAAGAAGGATCTCCTTCCACCTCCTAACCAAAACACTGATATAGAGCCTCTGACCAGATAGTTTCTATATATGAGCAGCTTCTGTGGGGATAACAGTACAAAAAAACCTTCATTTCTTAGCTGGAAATATATGTAAAGAAAATATTAGAATCCTCTGAAGAATCTGATGTTTCTTATGGTTCAGCAACATGTGTCTTTGAAGCTGTATTGGATCATGAGAGTGTAATGGTAAAAGGCATTGAGAATGTGTTTGGTTTCTGTTTTTCTTTAACAGCTGCAGGAAAAGAAAGTGATAGGGTCATAAGACTACTTTTATCCAAACTGATTTACATGAAAGGCTTGATCTGCCTTACTGTGTTTTACTGTTCATTTTGTCTGTAAAGGTTTTTGGTTTTTTTTTCAGGACATTGTTAGTTCTATTTTTCTTGTATGCACTGCATCACAGACTGACATACTTGTTAATACTGAACTTCCTGTTCTGAAGAACTTATCCTAATTTTTAAAATACTATGTAAATATTGCATTCCAAAGATAGATTTGACTTTTGGAATGGGTTT